ATGTGTATATACTAAAGTTGTGAATAATCAATATGTGATAATTAGCCTATATGTGGATGACATGTTTATATTTGGTACAAGTATAGATATTGTCAACAGTATTAAATATGTCTTATCCTCTAAGTTTGATATGAAAAATTTGGGTGAAACTAAAATGATATTGAGTGTTAAATTCATAAGGAGAAATGAGGTATAATATTGTCACAAGAACATTATACAGAAAGATTTCTTAGAAAGTTTGAAAATTATGATGTGACACCTATAAGTACTCCTTATAATGCTAACACTCAATTAAAGAAGAATAATGGTGACCCAGTTACTCAGTCTAAAAATGTTCAGATTATAGGGAGTCTAATGCATTTGATGAATTTTACAAGACTTGATATAGCTTATGTTGTGTGTCGACCGAGCAGGTATACTCACAATCCTAATAGTGAGCATTGGTTTGCATTAGTCAGACTAATGAAATATTTGAGAGGTATCATGAATTATGGTATCTTATATTGTAGATTTTCCACTATATTAGAGGGGTACAGTGATGCTAATTGGATCTCGAATTTAAATGAGACAAAATCTACTAGGGGTTATGTATTCACCTTTGGTGGTGGTGCAGTAGCATGGGAGTCAGTTACATAGACAATCGTTGCTAGATCAACTATGGAATCGGAGTTTATAACTCCGAAGTTGACTGGTTCTGAGGCTGATTGGTTAAGAAACTTCTTAATCAGTATTCCTATGACTAAGGATTCATTGCCTCCTGTGTCCATACACTGTGATTGTCAAACAGAATTTCTATTGTTAAAAATAAATCATATAATTGTAAAAGTCGACACATGAAACTAATACATGATGTCGTAAAGCAGCTGCTTAAAGATGAAATTATTTCTATTGATTTTGTGAAGTTAGAGTTGAATTTGACCGATCCTCTGACTAAACCTGTAGGAAGGAAATTAATTTTTCAAATTACAAGGAAAATGGGACTAAAGCCAACAAGTTGTCAATAGAGACAGTAACCCAACCTATGTGATTGATAATCCAATGAAGTAGGTTCATATGAATAATAACAAGTCAATATTGACCGTAAATCACTTCAAATCTAAGCCCCTCCGAAAATAAATGCTTTGATTGCTAATAATTGTGAGGGTGAGTTTAAAACTCTTAATAAATTCATATCCCTTTAGGGAGGCGTATTTAAAAGTAATAAACACTTAATGAATTCACCTATATGAGAGTGGAGTGAGGCCGCTTCTATAAAATTTATTGGCCGAATCTTTAGAGCTCTCATGAATAACCAGGTAGGCGCACGGCCTAAAAGCGCAAAATCACGATAACAGCAAGGTATGGGTTGTAGTGTAATTGATAAAATTTTTGTCATACATCAAGAGTTATTGGTTCATGGAAATTGGGAAAATACCGGTTTTCATCCCCAAACTTTGGGCACAAGACACATTTCGTCCCTCATCTTTTGGGCATGACACATTTGGTGTCTGAATTAACAATTTTTGACCAAATGTCATCCTCAGACGGCAATTTAACCAACCTTTAACGGACCGTTAAGTAAATGTGGCTAACCGAAGCAAAATCAGGTGGAAAATGACGTTGTCTTCACTTCCTCTGCAAATTTCCAAGACTAAGCTCCTACTGCAAATTTCTCCAGAGTAAACCCCTTCTTCCAATTATAAATATATAATTATAATTATATAATACATATAAATATTACTTAAACTAATATTTTATATAATTATAATGTATATTAGATATTAAATTTAATCATTATATAACCTTATATTCATAATAATAAATATAAATATAATTATATAATTTATTGATATTATATACACATATATATTATAAGGGATAATTTCATAAACCTCCCCTAAATTAGCTTATGGAAAAATGGGAAAATGGATAATTTATGGAGAAAAGCCATAAAGTGCTGGTGTTTTATTGGCGAACTGGTTTATTTTTATTTTATCCGATAAATAAATTTGTTTATGAAAAAATGGGTACTCTGTTCTTATAATAGAGGAAAGCCATAAAGAGCTGAAGTTTTATTGGAAAACGAGTTTATTTTTATTTTATTCAATAAATAAATTTATTTATGAAAAAATGGGTACTCTGTTCTTATAATGGAGAAAAGCCCTAAAGAGCTAGTTTTTTATGGGAAAGCGATACTTTACAGAAAGTGACCGCGATTTGGTTTATGAAATTATCCAAAAAAATAATTTAGAATGAATTTGTTTATTTAATTAAATAATTATTATATATATTTATATAATGCATTATATAATTATACTAATATATTTTATGAGTATAAAGTATATTATACATTAATTATAATTTTTAGTATATATTAGTATATTTATCATAATAAATATAAATATAATTATATAATATATTATTACTATATAGACATATATATTAAAATATATGCACATATAATATATATTTATAAATATATATAAATATATTATTAGGGTATATACCCTAATAACTATAATATATTTAGGGTAATAACTATAATAACTATAATAACTATACCCTAATAACTCTAATATATTTAGGGTAATAACTATAATATATTTATATATATATTTATAAATGTATATTATATGTGCATATATTTATAATATATATGTGCATATATTTATAATATATATGTGTATATAGTAATAATATATTATATAATTATATTTATATTTATTATTATAAATATACTAATATATACTAAAAATTATAATTAATATATGATATACTTTATAATCATATAATATATTAGTATAATTAATATTTATATATAATATAGTTATAATTATATATTTTATAATAATATTAGTTAAATTATATAATGCATTATATAAATATATATATAATAATTATTTAATTAAATAAACAAATTCATTCTAATTTTTTTTTTGGATAATTTCATAAACCAAATCGCGGTCACTTTCTATAAAGTATCACTTTTCTATAAAAGACTAGCTCTTTAGAATTTTCCTCCATTATAAGAACAGAGTACCCATTTTTCCATAAATATATTTATTTATCGAATAAAATAAAAATAAACTCGTTTTCTAATAAAACTTCAGCTCTTTATGGCTTTCCTCTATTATAAGAACAGAGTATCTATTTTTTCATAAACAAATTTATTTATCGGATAAAATAAAAATAAACCAATTCTCCAATAAAACACCAGCTCTTTATGGCTTTTCTCCATAAATTATCCATTTTCCCATTTTTCCATAAGCTAATTTAGGGGAGGTTTCTGAAATTACCCCTTATAATATATATGTGTATATAATATTAATAAATTAGATAATTATAATTATATTTATTATTATGAATATAAGTTTATATAATGATTAGATTTAATATCTAATATACATTATAATTATATAAAATATTAGTTTAAGTAATATTTATATGTATTATATATTTATAATTGGAAGAGGGGGTTTACTCTCAGAGAAATTTGCAGTAGGAGCTTAGTCTTGGAAATTTGCAGTAGGAGCTTAGTCTTGGAAATTTGCAGAGGAAGTTGTTGAAGTGAAAGAAAAAGGGAAAGTGAAGACAACGTCATTTTTCACCTGATTTTGCTTCAGATAGCCACATTTACTTAACGGTCCGTTAAAGGTTGGCTAAATTGCCGTCTGAGGATGACATTTGGTCAAAAATTATTAATTCAGATACCAAATGTGTCATGTCCGAAAGATGAGGGACGAAATGTGTCTTGTGCCCAAGGTTTGGGGATGAAAACCGGTATTTTTTCATGGAAATTCATATTTCACCAATATTCTGTAGGTCATGTTTTGTCAATCTAAATTTGGTTCATAGTCCAAAAGACACCAAATTGATTATATTTCATCCAAATAAATCCAGTAGACTATTTCTTTATTTTGACCAAAATCTTTTGAAATAGGTGGGAGATTGTTGTAAATAAAATGGATATTTCAAAAGATCTTATCCCATATCGAAAAACTAAAAGGACTTCTCATCATTTATAATGTGTAGTCTGTTATTGGGATTATGTTAAGTTAATAACTAGTGTGGGTTCGTGCACATAAGAAATTGAGTTGGGCCGTTTCAGTACAAACTGACGGATTTCCCCCCTGCCTGTGATCAAAATTTGGCTTTTTCCTAAGAAGATAACATTCTCTTTTAACATTACTATCTATTAACATAAATTAAACGTTACTTTCAGTTACACACGTTTCTATGTTATCAGATATTATTTTTCAACATTACCTTTCAGTTACACAGAAAATTAGTCACGTTTTTAAGTTATCAAATATTATATTTTACTAACGTACACTTTCTGCTGCCTATAAATAGCAGCTGTGCTCCCACTTTAGAGACACACCATCAGCTGATAGTGGATACCTTTCTGACAATTTTCTTCCTCTACTTCTCTTCTTCTCTGACTTTCCCCCTCTGCTGGATTTAGCCGACGCTTGTTAAAGTTCTGATACTTCTTGTTATAAACAAGAAGAAGGCTTGTTTAATTCTGAAAAAATATTTTAACTTCACGAAATAGTTTCTTAGGACGGTGTTTTAAACACGACTCAAGTTACATTTTATTGGTTTAGTTAAAGTTGCTTTTTGCTATTTTTGACTACAGTTCCTACTAGAGATGCACGCGAGTCGAGTCATAATCGAGTAACTCGCGAGTAGCTCGGTCAACGGCTTGGTTTGAACTCGGGTTGACCGAGTTCGAGCCGAATCTCGAGCTACTCGATTGTCATTCGAGTCGAGTTTCGAGCCAATATTTTGAGGCTCGAGGCTTGTCGAGCTACTCGTCGAGTCGGGGGTATTTAAATAATATATATATTATAATTATAAAATGATCATTATGGGTATAAGTTTTACGGAATTTACAATAACTCTTTTTTATAATAAAATTTTATAATGGTAAAAAAGTAATAACATAATTGTAAAAAGACCCAAAACAAAAAAATGTCTAAAAAGGGTAGAAAAGACGAGTGTGTCAAAAAATTGTGCAAAATTCCAGACTTTCTTCTCTGTTCGAACTCGAAGAAAGTTGAGAAGAAATTCACTTTCTGTTCGAAGTACATCCCTACCAACCACTGACTCTGAGTGATTTAGATCTAAACCCTGTCTCCGATTCTCCGTTACTCTCAGTCTCTCGTTCGTCGCCGACGCCGTTGCTCGCCGCATCTGTCAGACTCCATCGCCATCGCTACAGAGTGAGCTCGCCGCGTCTGGTTACTGGTATGTCTGCCTCTGCTCTAATGTACTATGATTGATTACCGCATCTGGTTACTCCAATCATATTGTGATGCCCCCTGACAAATATTATGGGCTCTGAGTTTGTTAAAGTTGGTGTCTTGGTAATTTTCGCCGCAGCTCTTCTGAGTTTTGTACAATTGCTAAACCAATTAATTGCTGGAAAATTTTCGGTCATCTGGTGTAACATGCAATGAGACAAGAGTTGCGAGTGCAAAAATCTTTTGCATTGGTTGTGATTCTTTCCTGATTGTCTTCATTAAATTACTCATTGGCTAACTTGGCTGAGGGGCTCTTGGATAGTGGTCTTGATATGCATCATATTAGTGGAATGGTACTATACTGCTGCTTTAGTTATGTAACAAAATTTATGGAAGCAAAAAACTTTGGAAGGAACACTAAAACAAAAGATACCAGCCTGCAAGGGCCCCTGTTTTCTGGATATTATGGTTGATCTTCAGGTCTACCAGACTGTTAGAATGAACCTACATTAGGTTTAGATTAAGAGTTAATTCAATACATGCAAATAAGTTTAAGCCAATTTTTGTGATTAATTATTTTGTGTAACCTGCTATACTTGTCCCGCATGGTCTGTTTCCTTTGTTCTATTAATTTCTCAGATAGTTGATGGAATAATTTTTTTCTTTTCTTATCTTCAAATTTCCATCTATGCCTCTGGGATTTCATTTTAATGGTGGCATTGAGGTCATCTTTGCTGGGCTGTCTGCTTTCTACTTCATGCCAGCATTTCACTCTTCAAAGCTATTCTTGGTTCTGTTAGTCGGGTCAGGTTAGTGACAAGAGTTTTCAACTTCATTCTTCTATATCTTGTTCAAACACTTGTAATTCTGCTGGACTATGGTCCATTTCTGAACCAGGAATATATTTTTCTGACATGTTCTTGTTTAAATCAGCTTTCTTTAGTTAGTAATTAGTGATATTTGTGGGGAAAAGGAATTTCTGGATAGATCTTGCCATCTTGGCATTGGTTTCTTGAATTGAGCTTGTGGTAGTTGGGATATTGTGGCTGTTTGAGATAATTGTTTGTCTCTCAATCTGGTGGCTCAGCTCATGTTTTGCTGAGTTTTGGAATTTTGTGGGGAATTTTGGTTAGTTTGGGTACTTTCGCAGAACTTAGGGGTGTTAAAGATGCTAACTGTGGGAGGTAGAATGTGGATACTTTTGGTTGTATTTGTATCGATGAATCATGGATTTTATGCCTCATTTACTCCAACTGATAGCTACTTGCTTGCCTGTGGATCTTCCCAAAACGTCACCTTGATTATATGCCTCATTTTTCGGTCAAGTCGAGTCAAAAAGCTTGATTAGGCTCGACTTGATAAGGCTTGACTAAAGGTCGAGCCTTATCGAGTCAAGTCTCGAGCTTAAAGCGAGTTCCTCGAGTCAAGCTTCGATTATCGATTTTTTGTACTCGGTCGAGCTCGAGCCGAGCTCGAGCCTAGGTATATATGAGTCGAGTCGAGCTCGAGTATAGCAATACTCGAGCTTGACTTGGCTCGATTACATCCCTAGTTCCTACAGAGATCCGGTGGATGAAAATAACATGAGCAACAAATTTGTAGAGCCTGACTAGCCAATGCGGAGTTTAGATCCTATCATGCAGATGATATGTAAGGCCACTATACCACCTGTTGGCCTGTATATTCTGGACATGATGGATGATTATATATATGACCTGGTTTCTGACGATCTTGATGTTAATCCTGGTCTAGATATTGACAGCAGTGGAGAGGTGATATACAAGATCCAATGTCATCTGGGGCTTGATTTTATTGTTAGTCCTGCATGAAAATTTTGTTTTTGGACCTATGGCCGCGTGATGGTGTGAACTTGAAGAATGGGTGTAAGGGCTTTTACGTGCAATATGCAGTAATTCAGACAATCGAACCAGTCATTCCAAATATACCTCTGATCTGCCGTGCAAAATACATAAAATATGGTGCCGCCACCCAATAAATCCTACATTGAACCCGATAAAATTATTTGAGAACTAAATTAGTGAAAAAAATCATAAAGAACGAAATTGGTTTAAGTAAAAAAGTTTATGGACCAAATTGGCGATTTTCCCTTTTTATTTTGCAGGCTTAAAATTTTAGATCACTCAATATTTTGATGCAATTTTTCCAAATACAACATCCATTGGACTCTGAAGCGGTCCCAACCTTTCTTTTCTTTAATATGACATCATATCATAATAATAATTCCTAACAGAATAAAAGAGTGAAGAAGTTATGAACAGTGTTCTGATCTTCGATTAACATATTCAGCAGGTGGGTTAACTTGGGATTTCAATTTGAAGTGGTAATGTGCTAGATGTGTGATTGCGTGGAAATGTGCAGGATGTGGCACTTGCGGTTTTGCTTGATTTTACCATTTTACCCTCATGTGCCTATTTTACCCTTGAATTGTGAACTATGGCTTCTTGTAAATTCACCAAATACTCCAAACTCCTTGATCAATGCTATGAGTTTCTTCTCCCTCCCGTGGGCCAAGACAAACCTTCCCCCCCTCTCTCAAATTTCTTCCACCCTTTTGCCTCTTCCTCGTCCTCACTTGTTAGACTTCAGTATTCCTTTTAATACCAGCCAAGTTCTTTCTTTCTCCTAGAAACATCGCAATTTTGAAATCAAAGATACAAATTAAATTTCTTCCGGCCACAGCCTTCTTTTTATGCGCCCCTTCTCTTGTCCTTGAACCAACCAATTATAATTTTACTGCTTCAGTTTTGCTCTCATTCTGGTATTTCTTTAGTTGAGGCCAGCGGCTTGATTCCCAAAGCTTTGATTTAATATTGGGGCTTTTCCCCTTGGATCAATTGATGAGACTCAGTTCATTCGATTTGGTGGGCTTTATTGTTCTTTTATCTCTTTCTACAGTTTCTTGATACATCCTTTTCGGCTTTTCATCATACATGAAACATTATTTGGAGGTATCTCACTTGGTTATGGGATGTGATTTGATTTTTTCTTTTTTGGGTTAACGTTCTGTTTTAAGTAGAGCATTCTATCGGTCACGTCAAGCTTTCTTCCCACTTTAATGTAGTGGACCTGAGGCTACCTGCATTTCTGTGTTTTCCATTTAGGTCCGTTTATTTGCAAGGTATGTAGGGAGGGGAGAGATGAGCTTTCTCTGTTAATCCAGTCGGTGGATGGTCAAGCATAAAGCAAAAGGTTTTAGAGAGGTTTCTCTATATACTATTGATGAGGTATTTGTGTATATCTAATCTTCATTGTGAAGGCTGAATTTTGATTCCATGTTTGCTGCCATCACTCTTTGTTTTTGTTACAATGATCTTCTTCTGGATATGAATTTCACTGATGTAGTTGTTTAAGAGTACTTAATTTTTGTTTTTTGTTATTCTTGTTGCTTCTTGGTCGTAAGATTGAAGATTTTGGTCTACTAATTACTGTGCGTGTTAGCTATTTGTTAATTTGTATTTTGAATATTAAGCATACTTTCACTTGATTGTTCTTAGGTTCTAGCTGGTAGGTATATTGGTGCAAGCCCCAGAAAATTTTAAGTATTTGGACATCTTTCCCAATAAGCGTTAGTTGATTATTTGACACTTGGCACCCTTCGCTTGCGCATAAGCGTAGGAGGCAGCCTCTTCCTTCACAAGCGCTTGGTATACACCCTCCCCTCACCTTCTTTCTCCTCCACCATCTTGTGTTCTTGGTGGTTAAAATCTTTTGCCACTGTTCAATACTGCTCGATCCCTCTCTCTTCCTGGCTACCATCTTTTGTGAGATTGGCAAGGTTTGTATGCTTCTTCACTCTTCTTACTCTTCCTTTGCCAAAAAGTACTTCTTTTTCAGTATAATATTGAAGTTTATCTGCGAAAACAGTTTTGCCAGAGATATGAATTGCCCAAGGAATTACGCAGCTTTAAGAAATAATGCTTAAAAATGACCATCTAAACACATACTGAAGCTTTACCTGTGTGTGATTAAATGAATCTTTAATCCCCTGTACGTGTATTTAATTGATTGAATATTTAATCCCATGATTTGTGTTCTGACCAATTTATGCGCTAAAGTATTTTGGTATGATCTTTGCAGGGTTTGAAAATCTCAAATTGCATGTGCTTCAAGCCGCCTTTGGTGATTCAGTGATTCTTAATTGAAACTTCAAAATTGGTTAGTAAACTTGCCAATTTGTGTAATTTAATGTGCTATGTTTCTGAAATCTGAAATTTTTTAAATGCTAAAGCTTATTTAGTCTTCAATTTCGAAACTAATATTATCAACCTATGGCCTCATACTTCACATGCATATAACTATCATCTGGATTTTTGATTATCTTAGATATGTCATATAGAGTTATCTTAGGCATGAAACTTCCATCAGTTGATAATTTCTTTCTTATGGTGAAAAGTTAAATTGATAGTTGTGGAGTATTTTGTGGTAAGAATTAAGATGTCGAGAGGACAATATCGCACTAGCGTGAATATATTTCTGACGCTTCAAGTTGGCACCATTTTGGATGAAATAATGGTTTTAGCTATATATTATATGATATCATCAGTTATTTATCCCAAACACAAGTTCCAAGGATATGATGTTTTAAATGAAAAATTGAAGGATTGATTAAGAGCAATGAATACAAACATAAGATGGTTGGACCAAAAACCTCACAGTGAATATAATAAATCAAAAACAGTAGTTGTAGGTATTGGAATTGAATCCAAGTCTTTTCCACTATGTCTTTTTCAATACTTTCTATAGCCAAGAATGATAGTTTATGAAATTTATTTTTTTTTGGGGGGGGGGGGGGGGGGGGGGGGTGTGTCTTGGCTGTTTGACATCAAACAAAATATTGTTAGTTTTACCACTAATTTTGTGCATAATTATTTTGCTTCAAATAGGCCAAAAAGAATGTGCATTTTTTTCAAATGGTAAGTATCTTATGCAAATTACAACAGCAAACAAAATTGTTGTAGTGCATACTTCTCTCTTTAAATATTCTCTCATTACACAAGGCTGCAGTTGTTGTCACTTATTATGTTCATCAATGGTGTACTATCTCCATTTCAGTTTTGCCATTTGTGCTTCGGCAGAATAAGATGTCTATGGGTGGTGCAGTTAATAGTTAAAATGCAGAAAGTGGAGTATGTAAATAGAGAATAGTGTGTGGCAAAAATGGTTTGCTGGAGCATGTTTGTGAATCTCAAATATTGAGATGCAAGAATTACTCTCCCTACAGGTCATTTGTGATGAGAATTTTAGGCTTGGCTTAGCGTATGGATAGTTCTAGCACAACCTTTACTACAGTTTTTAAGTTTGATTTTAAAGGACTGATCTGATGTATGTTTGTTAAGACTACTGTGGCAAAATAGTTAGAAGCCACGACCATTGTAGTTCAATTCTAAGTAAATGTCATGTGAATGGTGCCTGAGGATGATTGGTCAAACATAAGCATCAACATCCCTGGATGAGAAAACTTGATGCATTCTTCTTGTTAGAGGCAATCGGCTGTTTGCTGTTATAATCACCATAGATCCATGAAAGTTGACCCAAACTTCTATTTGTGTCAAATCCAACACCTAAGTGGACAGGAAATAATTACAACTTTGAGAAAACTGATTTTTGTTATGCTGAACAAGGAAGGATGTCAGGATGGTCGATGGGTTTAGGGTCATTTAGGAGGATTTCTGCAGAAGGAAGAAAAGTGGTGACTACTACTGTCATGTGTTTTCTTCTGGAGACCTTTCTGAGAAGTCAAGAAAGCACTTGTGCCACAAGCCAATCAAATTCACAAAGCTGTGAAGGTTATTGATAATAGCATTCCTACTGAAATGGGGATTCCTAATTCCTATATTGCATAATTTCCTAAGCTAGTCATTTGATCAATCAGATCAAGCTACTGCAATTCTTCAACAATAAAATGACTATAGTAGTCAACTTTCTAAGTATATTTTCTGTGTATATCAGTGCTCCATTCAGAGTAGTATAGCAATTACTGGAGATGTAATTTACTATGCTATATATGTAGCAGGGAAAAATTTACACTTGTATCTGAACTGCCTTAATCTGCTCTCTGGGCATGAAGCACTTGAGCTTGCATATTTGTTTCAAGTATCAAAGATGATGCGCTTGGTCATGTGGACATTGGTACATCATTAGTCATTGGAGGCCATGCCTTTCTCGGTCCTAGTTTTTTACATGAAATACATGCTAAACTTTAAAGATTTTTGTGAAAATTCTGGTTAGTTTTTGTGCATTTCTTTGCAAGTGACTATTGTAAAGATGTTAAGATAGAATAGCTAATTTATCCAATAATCTAATCAATTATATATTGTGATTCTTCTGAACAGTGGCAGGCTTTCATTAGAATTGCATTTGGATCTCCTGAGGTTTGTTTTGTTCTTGGATTGGGAAACTTTTGTCCACTTCTGTACTAGGCATACTCCCGAATTATCTGTTGTTTGCAAAGCAACTTGTGTTTTGGTTTCTAGCAATTCTCTTTTGTTCATTGGTTTGAAAGGTGGTGGTGAATACCTTAATTGGCATTTCCGATACATTGATATGTTTTTTACTTCTTTCTAGATTTTTTTATTATTGCATTTGGAACGCATAACATTGTGCATGCGTGGATGTGTAGCTTTTATTTTTGGTTAGAACTGATAGAGATTCTTCAATGAAGTGTATTATTGTACTAGATTTTATGCTTCAACTATTTTACGCAGCTTATTGACAGATTCAAGAAATTCCTGCTATTTTTCTTGCATTAGTTATCTTAGGTGTCATTTTAATGTTGATTGGTTGGTCAGTATGGCCTTGGAGGACGTTCTTTGGCCATTTGAAAAGAATGATGTCGTAAAGAGTGTGCGTGGAAAGATTGGAACTACCACACCAACAACTTGAACATTTTGTATCTCAAGTGCCCAAGTTGGAGTTTCTTGTTTTAAAATTGTGGATTTGCATAGTTTTGGTTTGGCACTGTTTAAGGGTTGTCAGTTGATTGAATCACAATTAAGATGCTGTTTTTTTTTTCCTTTTTCGAGATAGTTGAACACAAAATTTGTATTCAAAATTTGTGCAAGTTAACGGCTGTATCTTGAATAATCTAATAACCTTTTTTGCAATTTGAACTCAGGTCAACACTTTTTTTTTGTGACGGAGTGCAATTTGGGGCAACAGAGAACAGCTGAAACTTGTTCAGTACTAGAATTTGATTAGCACTGGAACCTTGAACTTTGAACTGCTGATTCTTGAAGTAATAGATCATGTGCTTACTAATTAGTGATTTTGATTTCAAATAGCTCGATGTATTATGGATAAAGAGAGTTTATAACCAATTTGTTGCTAATATTACATGTTTTTATTTGATTTTATTAAAAATAGGACCTGGGCAGGCTCGCGCAAAGCGCAAGGCCCAAAAAACTAGTAATTATTAGTATATGCATATATATGTTAGGTTATGTGAAGGTGTGTTAACGAGTGTCCTAAGAGCACCCATTAGAAAAACCCAAAATCATTTGAACGAGTTTATAACCATTGTTTTGCTAATATTACATGCTTTGGTTAACTTTTGATTTAAGCTGATTTAAGTAGATCTTGGGCACTCTTGCGCATAGCGTAAGGCCCAAAAGAACCAGTAAAGACTAAAAATGATAAGTTCGAACTGAAAAAAGGTAAGTTGTAGTGGTTAAAAGAAGTTCCCCCTCTAGTACCAAATCTTACCATTTATTTCATGAATCTTACCATTTATCCGATGAAACTTATCGACTGTTTAGTGAAATTTACTCATAATTGGTTGCTTCCATCCCTTCCTAAATCCATAACATCATTTTCATCATTTCCTTCCTTCCTCTACAGCTGCCACCACCGCCTCCCATTCTCCTAGTTCTTCTAATCACTACTCAATTAAATCCATCTTCTCTGTCTAAATCCCTCCTATATTTGCCTAACCCAGAGCCCTAGATCGAGCGAGGAATTTTGCCGGCAAGTGATTGCAGGTAAAGCTTCATCTTTTTTCCTGATATCTTCATTTTTTTATTGTTTCCTTCTGTGCTTAAATTGTTCAATAATTAGGTGGGAACAGGTCTGTCTCTGTTTTTAGGTTTTCAGTTTCCAGTCAGTATTTATTAAATTAAAGCTTTTGGGCTTGCTAATTAACTTGAGTTTTTGGGGTTATCGCATTTCAATTGCATGAGCCTGGCTACGGTGAAGACTAGGAGTTGTGGGTCTTTTGGTTGTAGTGCTTATGTTTCTTGCATACTGGTCATAGTGTTAGCAGCAGCTTACACATGATTGTGTGGATTGGAAAGGTTTGATTTGCAAATGAACTGAATTACCATTCTAGTAGCAAGTTAGAAGAGCATCTGTGTAGAAAACACTGATTTTCCTGTCCAATACTTTCTTCAGCCCATGATTTCCTGTGAAGCTTGTTAAAAACTTAATTGTTGCCCAAATTTTGTGGGGAAACACAATCTGAGACAGTCACTTCTAAATTATGGTACTTTTTGGCAAGATGTTTTATTAATTCATGTGCAAATTGGCAGAAAGACTACATTTTTATGTTACGTGTCAATAACGTTTGCCCCTTCAAAGTTGATACTCTAATTCCTAGTAATGTTTGAGATGAAACTTTTTGACAGAGCATACCCAATTCAATCATAAATGTTTCAAATATTCTAAATGATATGTTTTCATTTTGTTCTATTCAAATAAAAGGCAATTTTCATGCAATTCTCTGTTTGGTTTTAAGGGTAGTAATGTGATCTACTGGATTTGATGTTGAGGTTGTCTTCTCACTGCAGTTTATTTGGATAAATTGAGAATAAGGGAGTGAGTATAATTATGTTTATGATATGGTTGAATACACATGCCTATGTGATTGTTGCAAGAACAAAGTGATGATGATAAAGCTTATAAAGATAATGGTCATCCAGTTACCCAGTTTAATTTGATCATAATTATGGTGGGATGTTTCAGTAGTTTCTAATGGAGAAGATGCATGCTATTGCTGTAAGGACCCAAGGCCTTTGCTTGGGTTTGTGTAATACTCTCAATATAAATCTTCATGAACAACTTCTGCGAAAATATTTTGTTGTGGTATCTTTTGGAGATGATATTAGATTGTTATGTATGGTCTAGGTGGTGGTTGCATTCTAACTTGCAACTCCTGACACAATCTTGCTGTATGGATTAAGCATAGGGTAGTGAATTACATGATTTGTCGTTCTTGGCTCTTGATTAGTGGTAGTGTCATTGTCAAGGCATATAATATTTGTGACCTATGTTGCGCTCAAGCAAGAATGAATGCTGGTTGATTGAAAAGGATTTTCCTCGACCACTGACATTAAGGCTCATGAGTTTCTCATCTTTGAATTTTTATCAGTTTTGGAGAACTTTTAGAAGTTTTCTTTTGGCAGAAATAGCGAGTATGTGATGGATTAGTCGACTTGAAATTTTGTACCTTTAACTCCTAGGGAATTCACTGCCTTTTGAGCTGAATTTGCATGTAATTTTTATAAATCTAACTTTTGGGATGACTAGATGTATACTAAGCCTCTAACGGATTTTTATGGTTGATTTCTTTTTCCTTCTTTCCTCTGTCAATGGCAGCATGTTGATTTTGAATATGTGAGAAATCATGTGCCTTTTTGGGACAGGTTGTAGGTTTTAGTCTTGCTTTGAAAAACTTGAAGAACTCTTAAATGGCCGAGGCAGATGAGGATTTGAAATCAAGGAGAACGGTTTTTGTAACAGTCGGGACAACTTGTTTTGATTCTTTAGTTAGAGCAGTGGATACTCAGGAAGTTAAGGAAGAACTTTTCAAAAAAGGCTATACTCACCTTCTGATTCAAATGGGTCGGGGTTCCTACATTCCTGCAAAGGTAATTGTAAATATTTTGCTTCCTTTACTCTGATTGCTCCACTAAACAAGGTTGTTTTAGATTTTAAGTTGTTTATTAGTTGTTTTGATTGTTCAGCATTTAACCCAAAATGGAAGAAAATATAGCCAAAGTTATTGCATCAATCCCATTTTTGTTTTAGCTAGAATTTTAGTCTAGATTAGTTGGGAAGCCTATAAGAGATGGCTTGTTTGGAGAATGCTAAAAGAATTTAAGTAATTGAACGAAAGGGATGTTAAATATAAGCGAAGTCCTCAATGTATGCTGAAACGAAAGAGTTAAGTCTTAGATGTTGCTATAGCCTGAACACTGCCAGTTAATCAATATGTGTCTCCTAGATGTCTGGCTAGGACAAAAACTCCAATCTGATAGAGCAGTGGTCATTAGACATTGAATCTTGCAACTACTACATTCTATATATAGTGATGTTTAGAATGAGTTAGCCAAATAAACTAGAACTAGAATATCTCGCCTACTTATATGTTGATTTTTCTTGGGGAAAGTAGTTCCTAGTTTTAGACAATGGTTCTTTGATACCAAGGATAGACTTGAAATTTTTCTTTAACACTCGAAACCTTCTCTTCTGAGTTTGTACTAATTGTTACTTGTTTATTAATTTCTCTTAAACTTTTCTTTTTGCAGTCTACTGGAGAAAATGGGTCTCTGGAAGTAGACTGCTTCACATTTTCATCAAGCATCGCTGACTATCTGAGATCTGCATCTCTTGTTATCAGTCATGCGGGTAAATGCTCATCTTATTTCAATTTCATTATGTTAGTTTTTGTACTTAAATTGCATCTGCTTTTGACTCTTTTCAGACTAAAATTTCTCACCCATTGTATATTAGTTGCAAAAACAGCTGCATTTATAACTAATGCATGTTTCCAGTAGCTAGTGGTGGCATTGTTAAATAATTAGAGGTGCCTTTACATGTGCATAGTACACCTCTACAGATGCATAATTCTCGAGTACCAAAGCTTATCTGGATTCTTAATTGTCTTTAGGACATTATGTGCTATCTAGTACAATATCATAATGTACGGCCACAATGGAGGTTCAAACTGAACGACTGTAGATCTTTGGTGTTGCATTTATCGTGAAAAACCATCAACTCCCATCTTTATATTGATATAAAGTTGAAAAGATATTTCACTTGGTTTTAACATGTCATTTCATGGCTGCTGCAGAATGCTTCATGCTTCAAATTTTGTTTTCAACTTTGTCTGTATTTTGTACTTTTGATGTAAGATGGTATTGCAAATGTTGTCTGTTTCATGAAGTGGACAAAATACAAAGCATCACTGAATGTATAATGCTAATATACCAAACATGTTACATGTTTCAAGGTTGTGCAATTTGGCTTGTTGACAATTGTTTTACTAGTTCAATGTTGTGTTACTCAGTCCCTAATTTAAATTTAGGATCTATCATGCGAGAAAATGCCGGTTGTACTCAACTACAGTGTGTGTGTTGCTGCTGATTAAGTTTTGATTTTGCAAGTATTGTGTCAGAAAATTACTACACCTGTATATATTTGTATTTACCTATTTATACACTTTTTGGTTTCCTTTATTCCATCCAAGCCATGGAAATTAAGATACTTAAGCTTGCATTTACCCTACTAATTGCCACATTTGTACGGAAGATTTCTTCTTCTTGTACTCCCACCACTCTCTTACATTTTACCCCTCAGTTTTGCCTTTACTTGTAGCTTATCTCCAAACACATACTTGTTTTCCTATTTGGCAACACATTCTTGTGGATGTTTACATTAATCAGACTGTAAGCCGTTAAGGATAGAGGTCAGACAAATCTCAATGATTGACCAGATCTGATTGCCCCTTAGCTGAAAAGAAAATGACTAGATGAATGTATAACAAATTTCCATAATTTTTCAGGGTCAGGGAGCATATTTGAGACATTACGTTTACAGAAACCGTTGATTGTGGTAGTAAATGAAGATTTAATGGACAATCATCAAAGTGAGCTGGCAGAAGAACTGGCGGAGAGAAAACACTTATTTTGTGCTCGACCCCAAACACTTTACCAAACCGTTGCTGATATGGATTTGGGATCTCTAATTCCATATCAACCTGGTGATGCAGCTCCAGTTGCCAAGCTTCTAAACAGTTTTCTAGGTTTTCCAGATGACTGAGGTGCTGTGGTACCCCTTGCCTAGTTTTATGTTAAAACTTAAATGAGGGGGATTGCTTGAAATGACTCTTCAAGATTGGTCCATCATTTTGAGTCCACAATTCCTTGTACCCTGTACTTCAATTGGGAGCAGAGGTAAGAAAAATCAAGCTCTTTAAAGTTCAAGTTAACCGAATGATAAGGGACGACAATCCTGTGTGTCAAAAGTAGCACACTTCAACAGCAAAATCACAACTCTGACTGATATTGATTGAGCAATTATGAATGACTGGTACAACACACTGGAAAGCTTTACTAGGTTGGTGGTGATAATAGGGCATCCATGTCTGGAAAGATAATTTGAACTTCAGACTTGCAATGTTCACCTAAGTTTGGGCTTTGGCCCTACTTGTATTCAATTCATGCTGGTATTGTTAATGTAATTGTTCCAACACAATAGGTGTAATTGCCACATGAAGTTTGTGACTTTACAGATGTGACATTTTTAACTTTTGAATTTGAAGCCAGTTTGATGCTTTGAATGTTATGTCAGGCATGAGATGCTTAGCCCATGCCAATGATGATTTGTAGCTAATTTGCCTATGGTAAGTTGGTCATCCGGAAGGGACTTGAAATTACGTCAGATAGTCGAAATCTTGCACTTGCAATATACATATATATGTATATGTATAGAGACACACACACGTACATGCATACATGTACAGTTGGTTTAAGTCTCTAAATGCTCTCCCTCTCATTCCTGTTGTTTTATGAGATTGTGAACAGAATGAGATGAGTAGGTCTTGTACGTTTCTATTGTATTCCCGTTTTGATCATCCCCTGTATTATTGTGATGTAGCATACGGAAGATTTGAAAAAGTTCGGATAGAACTTAAAAGAGCCAACAAAGTAGCTCACAGCGTCTTTAATATGCCTACAATTCTTTGGCACGGGCAAGGGCGGACCTAGGGGAGCGGGAGCCCGGAGGGTCCCTATACCCCCAAAGTTCTCGAAGTTTTGATTTTCCTCCCGTAGATAATTGAAAATTTTGAAAAAATGTTCTTTAAAAAAATTTAAAATTTTGGCCCCGTAAAAGTTTAAAATTATTTTATGTTATCTACTTAGTTTACATGAATTAAAATTGGTCCCCTTAATTTAAACTTTATGGTTGCTTTCAAAAAATAAATAAATAAATAAAACTTAAACTTTCTGCTCCCCTCTGGCACGAGATAGTTTTGGGCTATCATCTCTTCTATTTCTATTTTTTGTAGGGTTGGAAGGAAGGGTTTTGGAATGGATTTGGGCTTTTGCAAACTCGAACTTATGAATGTATTAGTATAGTGAATGTAGACATTAAAATAATAATATATCAAAATTTAATTAATTAAAAATTGTTTATTGTAGAATTTTTTTTTCAATTTCAAATTAAGCGAATCCCACTGGTTGTTACTTGCCCTCTACAATCCGCATTGTGATTGTATATTCCAAAATCCGTTTGAAGCTGACCGGACTGGAGAATGTAATTGGGTTCCCTAAAATTCAGGGCAGCAATTGACTTTCGGAACACAGATTCCGGATCGTCCGATTTGCATGTGGACGCAATAAATCAATGCATTGCCAGTGCAGCCACCGGCTGATGGTCGTAGGTCAACGCCCTATGTTTCTCATCATATCCTGTGAATATCCTGTGACGCAGGTCACAGGTCAAGTTGGATCTGGATTTCTTTCTTTCTTATTTTTTTTTCTTTTAAAGGCCAAAACAAGAATCTGGAGCCCTGCCACTAGCTTCCACTATACGTGGATGGAATTGCACCTTTTAATATAGAACAACTTTTGAAATCTGTTGTAATATACATTCATATAACACAGATAAAATGTTACTAAGTGCCATCTTAATTAATTGTAGAGTCAAATGTTTGGGAAGTTTTTAAATTATTATCGTTGTCCACTTTTGGTCTCTAATTTTTTTTTTTTTATTTTCGACTGGCCTCTCAACAATTAAAAGTATATAGTTTAAGAACTTCTTATCATTTTAGACATAAGTAACCAAAGAGCATATTTGTTCAATCTTGATTAAAAGTATCGGAAACTTAATCAAAAGTATGGAGAGCAGAAGTAAAAATCTTGAGAAGAGAGAACTCTCATTTTCCTTAAACTCTTCGTGAGATTTCTCCACAAAATTTCTAAATTCATTGATTTCATACTTAGGTGGCCAAAGTTTCATCAAATTTTTCATGTCTCTCTTAGGTATAAAATCAATGAATTTGAGAATTTTGAGGAGAAATTTGATGTCGAGTTTAAGAAAAATGAAGGGTTTTCTTTTCTTAGAACTTCTGCTCCTACTCTTGATGCTTTTTGTTAAGTTTCGGTTGCTTTTGATTAAGATTGGACAAAAATGCTCTTTAATTTAGTTCCTTTTGACTTATGTCTTAAATGGTTAAAACTCCTTAAACTATGCACTTTTAATTGCTCAGGTCTCAATTGGAGACAAAAATAGATTAAGGGCTAAAAGTGGATAACGGTGATAGTTTAGGGGTTTTCCGGATTTTTCACTCTTAATTGTGTGGATTTATTCTTGAAGAAATGTGTGACTAAGTGGGGCATTTATTTGAAGAAACTGGACTTATTTCATTATATCATAATGAAGCTAGTATAGTTTTAAAAGAGCGTTTATATATTAGGGTGTTAATATATACATTGTCAGTGTATTTAAAATGAATCAGTGCATTTAAAATCATTCAAATATAGTAGATTCATGATCTGAGATTTGAAGTCAGAACCAAAAGTAGTTTCGGTGTCTCAAACCTATTTGAGACACTTGAAGTCATCCTCAGTAGTATATGATTTTGGTGATGGAGATCAGTTTGAACACATTCTTATACATGCAGTGATTATTAACCACCATATATGTTCAAAATCCTTTTCCTTAATGGTATATATTACAAGTCCATTTCAACTGTCGATTGCTTCGAAGTTTCACATGTATTTAGATGATAAAGTTGTGCAGATTACAGTTTGGTTATATGCTATCTATCTTGCTTGTACAGCCATGAAATGCATAGAAAACTTTCAATTTTATCTCACCGCAAGACAAAGACTTGACCCTGTACTCAATACAACATAAGAGACAAACTCAAGTACAGACAATTCCCTAGCACTCAACAATCATGATACACGCTCTATGGAATTATCAATTTAGGTAAACTATGGGCTTATAGAGGCAATATAACATTTTAAGAAGGAGAATAATACTACAATTTAATATGGATCATGTGGTCGCAAAACCAATATAGGAGCATCATCCTAGGAAAGAAAACAAAATTGTTTTACTACATATTCAAAATTGCAGCCTTTCTTTCCACTTCACAACAATACTCGACTCGTTTTGTCCTCTCTCTCTCTCTTTCTCTCGTGTTCTTTTCTTCTGGCTAGGTTCATTCATTCACTCTTTTCTGCATTTCTCATGGAAAACAGCACCATTTCAGCTCCTGCAATCCCTGAATTTGCAGGACAAAACCACTCCCAAACACACCAAAATTACCACCATTTGGAACCTGATCATCACCATCATCACGCTGCTCTTCCTTCTACCACCATCCTTCTAATAGTCATTCCCATCTTCATAGTCATTTTACTCCTAGCAATCTTTCTATTAGTAATAATGCTTCGAAAACTTCAGTTCCACAAGAGCCATGGCAGCACCAAAAGCGGAAGCATCATCAGCAACAAGGACTGCATGTTCGTTGCTCACAGCTCTATAAACATAGGCTCAAGTCCAGGTAAGACATAATGCAAAAATCCCTGCTTTAGTTGCTTGTTTTTGTACACTTTTTTATCTGTTCTTGAATGCTATGGGTATATGTTTTGCTGGTGAAATTGGAGCAGATGTCAAAGGCGGATGTTTGTATGGAAGCAGTGCAACTAATATGGCTGCATCCAAGCTTAGGGGCGTACAAGTTTTTACTTACAAAGAGCTTGAGATTGCTACAAACAAATTTAGTGCAGCAAATGTGATAGGAAATGGAGGGTATGGGGTAGTGTATAGAGGGATTTTGAGTGATGGGACTGTCGCTGCAATTAAGATGTTGCACAGAGAAGGGAAACAAGGGGAACGTGCCTTTCGATTAGAGGTTAGTGGACCTCATTTATTGCTGCTAGTTTTCGTATCCATTTTTTTTAAGCTACATAAGCTTGTCAATTAAACTCACCTGTCCGCTCACTCGAAGATTTTTTGTTTTTGGTATTTTCCCCTCTTTGGCTAAATACAGTGGGGAATAAAGGGAAGTGGAGAGTGAGATATTTGCCTAAAAAATTAATGGTACTTCTGGCATTGGTCCAGCCATTGCTTTCTTGAACATCCTAATTGAACTTATTTGATGGGTGCTTGTCTGTGGTATGGCTGATTTCATGCAAAAGGTGGAGATGTGTTATCCTATCCTAGTCAATGGTTAGCTGCACATGAACCATAACCAACCAACCCAACCTTTAAGGTAGAAATAGTTGCTATCAAATATTAAATATGACTTGAGAAAAAGCTATATTTTGTAGGATGTTGACTTAGTGGCTGATTGTGATTATAATACTGCATAAACAACAGTTTTGAAATTACTAACAGCTTCTTATAAGTTAACTCAAAGTTGGATAAACTGCTCCAATTACTTTAGCTGTTGACTTTTCTCTCCCCCAAAATTGCTAAAATATATATATATATATATATATATATAGAGAGAGAGAGAGAGAGAGAGAGAGAAGAAAGAAACTAAAGAGCCATAGGTACATTCATTCACATGCCCACACGAGTACACTACCCCTCATTCTGCTGCAATTTTGCCGTTTGTTACCTTCTTGCCTCATAGAACGTGTCAGGAATGTTACTCCCTCATCCCCCATTATTTGCAAGTGTATACCATGTACTTGCATATGAATTCCCTCAAACAAAGGCACATGGGTCTGAAATAATGAAGACAAAAATCCACTGAAGTGATAGTGCTCCCTAATCTTATCATATATATTTGTAATGTTGCAAATAAATACAAAACTATGAACTCCTTCAAATCTGTACAGGAAATTAAAGTTGTCCCTTTTTGTGCTTTGGCAGGTGGATTTACTTAGCTGCTTGCACTCACCTTACCTAGTGGAGCTTCTTGGCTATTGTGCTGATCAACATCACAGGCTCCTAATATTCGAATACATGCCCACTGGAACTCTGCAGCAGCTTCTTCACTCTTCCAATCCTCAATTTGGTAGGACTTTGAACTGGGGAATAAGGTTGAGAATAGCACTGGATTGTGCTAGAGCCCTTGAATACCTGCATGAATACACAACCCCATCAGTCATCCACCGTGATTTCAAATGCAGTAACATTCTTTTGAACCAAAATTTCAGAGCCAAAGTTTCTGATTTTGGGTTGGCGAAAATAGGATCAGACAAGCTGAATGGTCTCATTTCGACGCGCGTGTTAGGGACCACCGGATATTTGGCCCCGGAGTAAGTTTCTTGAATCCATCACATGTCAGACGTCCATCTTCTATTGTAAGTTTGTAACATATTGTACAATTATTATGCAACTCTCACACAAGTATGCACATGCAAAGGCAAATAAGGTCCCTATCAGGTACACAGTCATTTTTCTGTCTTTTCTAGTCATTGAAGGATTATGGTTAAAGCAGCAATTCAATTCATCCTCAGAAAAGAAACTAAATTGCACCTGTGGTCCTGTTTTTAACACATTGTCACACACTTGTTTACTTATCCATTTCTAAGCCTGCTTCTTCAAACTTTCTGCTGACTGAACCTGCATTGAACCTTGAAATGCTGCAGGTATGCTTCAACTGGCAAGCTTACTACAAAATCAGATGTATATAGCTATGGCGTGGTTCTTCTGGAGCTCTTGACAGGCCGCATACCAATTGATACCAAGCGCCCTCCTGGAGAGCATGTCCTTGTGTCATGGGTCAGTAATGATGTCCTTTGTGAATTTTTTTTTTTCAAAGTACATTTCATTGTCCTGTACTTGATGATCACCATTATATACTAATCTGGCTTTATTGTACACCTCCTGCCGTAGTGTGAACGTTGCCCCTTTGAACCGCTCCCATATAATCCCTGGAATTTGAACAAGTACCTGAATCTTGTCAACAATGAAATGAATTTTGCTATATAAGTGGTCATGACTTTATCCCAACTCTCAAAAGCTTCAATGTTCGTCTTTCCATGTATTACAGGCTCTGCCAAGGTTAACTAACAGAGAAAAAGTGGTGGAAATGGTTGATCCAGCACTGCAAGGCCAATATTCCAAGAAGGATCTTATTCAGGTAAAGTTGAGATTAGTTTCTAATGACGAAATCCTGATTATCAAGTATAACAACTAAATATTGCTTTTTCTGCTAACTTTTATCTTTTCTCAGATAGCTGCTATAGCAGCCATGTGTGTGCAAACAGAAGCAGATTATCGCCCTTTAATGACAGATGTTGTGCAGTCCTTAATCCCTCTGGTCAAGATTCTCTCATCTAAATGTCCCTCTGGTTCCTTCAGATCTGTTCAATCGGTCAGTCCAAGAAAGTAATGCCATTTGACTGCTGAAGTTGAGATATTTGAAATCAGAAACATACTACTATGAACCTCCCATATCTTGTCCATTCCAAGCACTTTTGAGTTGCAACTGCAAAGAAAATTCACAGAATCAACTCTTTGGCCTATTCAGAAATTGTATAGGTTCTCTCCCATGGCTCTATCATGACAGCTCCTTTCTGAGAATGCTGATTGGAACGCTCAAAATGGAAGTAATGAAATCAGCGAGGCAATCTGAAGCAATAAAAAAGATAACAGTCAGGGTGAATTATATAAATTTGTATACCAGATAAGTCTTGTATATTTTGTTTTGGTAGATGAAATCCGTTTTGGCTCTATAAACAGGAGGTTGAAAAATAATATATAATTCTTACTTATATTCAAATTCATTGTACACAGAATTGTTAACAACTTCATTTGCTCTGCTTCTTTCATCATCTTCTAAACTTCTTCACGAATACATTCTAGTGTCACAATGAATTACTCCTGGATAAAGGAACAAAATTTGGCCATAAATTACTGTTGTATCTCAAAGATCAACACCGTCTTTCTAAGATAAAACAAGAATGTTTAAAACTCTCCCTGCCATTGAAATGCCTTTTAGCATAGCTCTGAGCATCAGATATGTTTTCCAGTAGCCGAAAATTCTTCTAATCAACTTAGGCAATTTAGAATCCACAGGTTTAAGCAAAGTATACATACCTTAGGTTATTTTTCATTTTCATTATGGAGGCTGTCTTATGATTGTTACAGAGCACCTTAATCCAGCAGAGTTGCTTGATTGGCATTAAAATGATCCAGTACATAACAGACAGTTCTTGGATTTTTATGCAAAAGGGATTTGTCAGAATAAGTTGCTTCTGGGAGACAATGACACTGCACTATTGAAGAGGGGATGCAGATGATGTAAATGGACCCCATTTCAAGATAGCAATCTTTAGATGGTAACAAGTGATAAGAAGAACTAAAAGAGGGGAAACACAACACTAGGAAAAAATAAAACTGGTTACAGCTCAGACGAATATTTCCTGGTTTTGGTTTGGTAACGAGGAGATGTCTCGTGAGGTTTGCCAGAGACATGTTAGAAACACTTCGCTTTTGTTTACTTGCTAATCATGGTAAAGACCCCATTCCTCTTAGCTTTGCTCTAAAAGATGTAAAGACCCCATTCCTCTTCCATCTCCCTTATTAAGTAATATTTCTTTGTCAACAAACTTCGTGTCACTTTCCCGGAATTGAAAAGCGATCCTTGTTGAGGAAAAATTAGAGGCGAAAAGCCTGCAAGCTTCCATTTGAAATTCTTTAATATCTCTAGAGTAACTCAAAGCACCTTCTTTTCTCTGGCAATATTTTCTAATTCTGACTATGTCTAGCAATTTTGAAGTTTTTGAATGGAAATTTCTCCGTAATATCTATTTCTGCATAAGTTACAGAAGTTGCCATTGTCCAAAGAAAAAGAAAAAATTGTTACAGATGTTACAGCACAAAGTATAAATTGCCTACAACTTGTGATGTACAAAAACTACCTACATTTCAACATTTCAGAGATGCCTAACTCAGCGGGCTGGTATTGTGAGAAGGAATGGACGCAGGAGGATGGCAGATAAGGGAATGCAGAAGGAGAAAATGACAACAACAGAGTCACCCAAGGCCATAAACTTACAAAAACAGCAACATTGGATGGGGACCAAATCCTAGATAAGTTTTTCTATTGACCTGCAGGCCCCTTGCCGATACACATTGGTTCGTCATTTGCTTCCACGGTAGCAATACTTTCCTCTTCTGTTTCATTTTTTTCTGAGTTATTGTTCTTTCTACCAATTCTGTCAGAGTATTTTGCAAAAGCAACTGACAATGCTGATTTAACGGCTAATTCAGATTCTTTCTTCCTCTTCTTATTTGCATCCTCAATTTCCTTGTCATCTTCCTTATTTTCACTTGCAGAGGTTGCTTCGGCATTGACATGGACAGAATTTTCTGGAACAGATGGACGGATGGGAACTACACGCTTGAAAGGCTCATGGAAAGTATCATACAGCCGTTTCACCTGAAGCATAATTAACAGCTGATTATATAATGTTGAAGAACAACGATTAAGATCCTCCAACATCCCCCAAGGGAAGAAGCATTCAACATCCCCAAATGAGTTAAAAGAAGCATCAATGACTGGGACACTCTGACAACAGACACATAACCATAGAACATTTTCAATATGTCATTCCTCGTATGACCATTTTAATTAGCAAAACTGTATAAGCAGCCATGCCAAAAATATAGTTTGCCAATTCCAATTATGACAATAAATTTACAAAGCACCTTGCGTTCTCCTATGCCGGGGCAACGAGCTAGATCCTCCATCGATGCGTCCATAATGTTAGACAGGGACTGGAAGAGTTGACAACTAATTTAGAAAAACAGACTAAGATATGATGAGAGCCTTTACTTGCAAATCACAACTGTACCAGCATACCCCAAATGTAGAGCCAAGAGTGACAACATCTGTCTTGTTAACATGCCGTACTGTTGTCAGAGCATGATTTAGCTGCAATAGAAGGTAAACTCATTTCAGCATCAGAATCCAACAACAACCATGAAAGATTCCATTTTGATATATATATATATATATATATATATATATATGCTCAGTATTAGTAAGTTTAAATGTTCATTCTCAGATAAAATGGATCATCAAATCAAGGAACTCATTATTATTCTTACCCGTGATAAATAATCTGAGTCCATCTGGCCCTGAATAAGATCTGCTGGTTTATTTTCATAAACTTTTATTGTCTCCAAGTACCTACCACACTCTTCCAAGCTGAAAAAACACAGACAAGTGCAGTGACTTTGATTAGGAGAATGAAGCTCTCTAGCACTCAAAAATAGTTTCAACAGAGGGCAAAAGAACTTTCACCAGATAATGAATAAAAGTACATGATCCATTTGGGTTGATTATATGCAACTCATGTACTTTCAAAAATAATACTGATTCCTCAAACATTCTAAATCTTGTAGGTAATAATTATGCATGTTAATAAAGACTTAGAAAAGGCCACCATCATCCACTTGAGCTTCAGATACAACAGACGACTGGAATCCAAATGATAGATGATTCCAACTAAAAGAAAATCATTAGGGTATAACAACTTTCCTACACATTTCATTTCAGGAAGGTACCTCCAACCACATAAAAGAGTGCAATCATGAAGCAGAGCTGTTTTTGTGACTTCGAGCAAAGGTTTAACAACATCTTCCTGGAACCAAAGAAACCTATTAGCAAATGAGATTCATGCACAACAAGTGGAAATTAAACAAAATCTCCTACAATGCCAAAAGGGAAAAAAAAAAAAAGATTAATAACAGTAAGATAAAAATAATAAAATAACAATTGTTTGCCGGGCCTTACAACATCCACATGGCACAAAACTACACGAAGCTTGAAGTTCTTCGGCAATTCCCTTATCCGATAATAAAGGTAGTCTGGATGAAGTAGATGATACCTAAGGCTACAAGTAAAGAAACTTGTTCACCAGGATGTCATACAAGAGAATAATTCAGGTTGCATCTCAAAATTGAAAATGACAGTTCTCTGAATTAGACTTTATTAACATAGTAAAGTAAATGCACACATAAGTTTTTCTATGCATCATTCTAGGCAGTTAATATCTCCAACAGCAGAGTTGAGCTGAATTTCACTTGATGATAACACCACTCTCAGTCATCCAATTTATTCCAACTTGACACAAGCTTAAGTAGTATGGTTAACCAGACAACAACTACAAATGAAGAGACATTGTGGTTGTCATGGATTGACATTGTTTTAGCTAGCTCCAATGTATTGAGAAGAAATATCAGCAGACTAAACCAGCCCTTGCAGGCAAAATTATGATTTAAGTCCTACAGAAATAAATTCCAGAATAAAAGTCTAATGCTAACAGCAGAAGTAAACTATCTTTACAATTTAAGTTATTCTTGACATGGCTTTTTCTATTTTCCCCATAACAGTAATAATGAAATTTTAACTTCAAGCAATGGGAAAAGTGAAGAAAAGGAAGAACTCCAAACCTTAGATAGAGTGCACAAGCATTCTGGCCTAATGAGTAGTCACAAACGACATCTGCAAATGACCATCTTGCATTCCTTATATGTTTCAGCAAAGGATTTCCCTTCTGCATGTGAACAAAATTAACAAAAAAAGGATAATTAAATACACAGAGCTAAGTTTCAGAAGAGACACTACAAGTTCAGTCACTTAGAATATGGCAATGAACCTGATTCATAATCTATAGCACTAAAACTCTGGACTGGACTGTGCAGTCTGCAGTTTGAAGAATGCATTTGCGCTCAATCAAGGCAAAAACCAAATGCTTTTATAATGCTGCAATGCAATAGATATCAACCATACAAGAATCTACTATAAATCTTCCTTCCTTAGAGTATGTAAAATTTTTGTCAAAATCTCGTGGCCTAATAACCCATGCCACACCCCTCTTCTTACAAGATCAACTTGGTTATAAAAGCGAGGCAAGTGTGACTCTTTGCAATTTAGTGAATCCATTTCCGGATTCATTTGATTAAAAGTAAGACCACACCAACAAACGATCCTCATTCAAAAATATGATCATCCAAAGATTGATTGCAACACACACGGATTACGCAGAAAAGCTCGTGGAAAGTTTCTAAATTTGCAAGAAAGCATTCAAGATTAGGCAGTTCATGACTGCAGTCAAAATTACAGACTTTTTTACTGATTAACGTGCTACCCCTCCCCACAAAATAAAAAATCCAGCCACCTCCTCCACCCCCCCCCCCCCCCCCAAAAAAAAGAAAAAAAGAAGAGAAAACAGTATAGTATTGACATAAAATAGCATGAAATTGTTCTTTGCACAACCTTATTCTTTGATGACAAATTCCTTCAGCATTTTTACATTGATAGAGTAGTCCAGAGAAGTGCCATTAACAAACAAGATAATGCCAACAACAATTCCCTAGTCATAATATTGGTAATACATAAAGCATAAATCTTTTTATTTATATAATTCTTAATGCAAGTATTGATTGTTACCTGTCTATGGCTTACAAGGATGGCATTTCGACTGGGAACAGGTGCATAAGCTGAAAACGACGGCGTTGAGGAAGTTGAAGGACCCTCAGATTGACCAATTTGCCTAAGAAATAAGGACAAGAAAACTCAAAATTTAAAGAAAATGGTGAAGTTATTGCATTCATGAGGATGCAACTGAAACAGGGAATACCTCGGAATGGCGGAAGAGGGAGGTTGAGGAGGCGGAGGCGGAGGCGGCGGAGAGTAGAAATCCGAATTCTTGAGGAAATTGAAGGCTTGAGAGAAAGAGGTAGAAGGTTCGAAGAAAGAAGACGGCACCGTTCTGGGCTGAGAGCTTTCCATCGCTTCTTCGTATGAGGGTATGTTTAT